TACATGATAAATGATAGAAAGAGAGGCTGAAACAAGTGTACTTGAGCTACAATTATAAAATTACATTTAAATTCAAATTAAATTTAAAAAACATTTATACGTGTCATTCTAAAGTTAATATTATTCATTAATATAATAATAATAAACTATGCGTAGGCGTGTCCGAACTGTAAACTGGTATAAAGTCAAGCTCAGAGCTGGATCACTCACCTCTCTGTGAACATGAGTAATGGCAGTGGCGAGCTCGAGTCCATCCAGCAGATTGTTGCCATCATAGTCGTGCATCTTGAAATAGTGAAGCTGCAGCTCTTGAGGCGTCATGTCCGACTCTGGCTTTTCAATCACCCCTTCTAAATGCCCCATGATGTGGCTACAACAGAACAGAAGAAAGCTTCAGCTAAAGACTCGTGGAATAGTTACTATTCAACTCCGACCTTTGGTCGATTAAAGTTACAATTCACCGGAAGTAGCGGCAGATCTTTTCTTTCCTATTGTGGCACCTATCCAAGTGTATCAGATTAAAGAGAGAATGAACGAAGTGCAGGGATTTGGTTCCATCCATTGATTTTGTGGTTGGATGTTGAATTACGTTTCTATTTCTAATTATTTCTAAACAGCTTTGATAGAAATCAATTACACACGGTTTTCGTCAAATGCTGTTCTTGCCATTTTATGTTTGTAAAATGAACAGACATGACAATCTTTGAAAAAATTGTGTTCCTAGATTCTTAGATACTTTAGTTTAAAAAAAAATGTTTATACCATTTTTAAGAAAGATTTGTATGTTTTCTGCATTTTAGTTGCACCACACGATTTGACAGACACATTTTCTTCCAAATATTAGCAGCAGTTTTTTTCTAAAGAATAACAATTGAAGATTATGCCAAACCACTTTCTTCTGAAAAATTTTTTTTTTTTTGTATGTGTGTGTGTATGTGAAAAATATATATGATATATATATATATATGATATATATATATATATATATACACACACACACACACACACTGGTGTTTCAAATTTCCGAAATATTATAATTTAAATTATTTTCTATATGAATATATTTTAAAATGTAATTTATTCCTGTGATGTAAAGCTGTATTTCCAGCATCATTCCTCCAGTCTTCAGTGTCACATGATCCTTCAGAAATCAATCTGATATGCTAACTGGTGCTCAGATTTGATCAGTTACTACTAGTGCTCAATTATTAATAATTACTAATAAGAATAATTATTAATCATTCTTTTTATCATCAATATTGAGAACAGCTTTTCTGCTTAATATTTTTGTGGAAAACACGATACATGATTCTTTGATGAATAGAAACTATAAAAGAACAGCATTTATGTGAAATATATATATATATATATATA